TGGTATTAGCACACAGGCAAGACGGCAGAGAGAGAGAGACAGAATGTGTGTGAGCAGAGAAGGGCAGCTACGGTATTCAGAAACTGTCTGAGATGTGTAGGCACTCAATGAGTTAAATAATGAATGAATACGACATCAAAACCCATACACAAGGATCCGTGTCTAAGAACAGACTTGCTGCTTCTGTCCGATGGCGCAGTGACCTGGAGATTGTAAGGCGTCTGGCCAAACTCATTCCAATGTCTGGCGGGAGGTCGCATACAATGTCTCGCTTGCCCGATCAAACGGTGCCTGACTTACAAGCTGCGGGGCCTTCCGAGCCGGACTCACGGGAGCATCGACGCTACCGTAAACTAGGTAGGACGACGTTTGGAAGCTTTGCTCAATGAGAACCCTTGCTCATGTACGGATGGCCATCATCTCGAACCCTGAGAGCTGTTTGCTTCTCTTGTTGCCAAGGGCGAAGCTCCAGGACCCGGCGGTCTCGGGTGGCAGAACCGGGCCAGTAAGCGTCCATCTTGATTCGCCGCCTTAAGAGCTGGAAAACACATGTGACTGGGATCTGTCTTTCGATGAGAATCGCGAAGAATGACGTCACGGCAGATCTCAGTCTGGATGGCAATGAATTGGAGTTGCTAGCTGTCATTAGGTAGGAAAGACAGCATCAACTTCAGCTGAACCTCTTGAAGCCTGCAGGTCCACATGCGGTTAGAGCCTGGGAAGAGGCATCACTGGATAAAAAATCCTAGGCTGCATTGACAGAGTCGCATCAACACGAGACTAAGAATCGGAAAAACCTCGAAAAGGAGGGGCTGGGATTGACATCGTAACTCGGCGGGTTGGTGACTGCGGCTCCGAGGGGCAGAGACGTCGAGAAAAAAAAATTCCTGCGATAAGTGACTTGACCGGGATATACGCACAGACCATTCTCATTTTTCCGTGATTCGGCCAATCATGACGCCCCTTTTCCCGGCGACAAGCGGTGAATTTTCCCATCTGAAGGCAGGATCTTGTGTATCGGGAGTGACATCTTCTTTGGGGCAGATTATAAGGGCATCGGCGCTCGGATTTTCTTCCAAAAAGTTTTTCCGCCCAATCTGCAAGAACCGCAAAGATCACGATCCCGCCCGCCAAGGTGCTAAACGCCCTCCAAACCACCCCGAAAAGCTGTCCCCGTGCTTCCAGATGCTCATGGAGGGCATTGAAGCTATTGCCGAGGCGGCGCAGCCTCCAAAGGCGGAGGCGCACTCGCCGACAGGTACGCCTTGGCCTCCCACCTTCCCCGGCCGACGAACTTCTTCACCAGCTTCGGAGACCTTGATAGCGACCACCAACAGCCCAAAAGACAGTCGAGGAAGGCGCTGACCTGGTCGCAGGACCCGAAATGAAGCAGGAATCCCCGAGTCTTGTCACCGATCTGGGCGAGACCCCTCCATTCCCACTCAAGCGACCCCGCGATTCGAGCGCAGACGATCCAGATGCCGAGTCCAAGAGGTTAAAGGTTGACGATGAGGGTCCGCCTTTGGATCTCAACTTCGACATGGACGCCATGATTCAGGGCGTCATGATGGACATCAATAACGAGATGGGCAAGGTCGACGGTCTGGACTCTGTCCCGGACGTGGACATGTCCGGGGACCCTCTTGGATCCGTGTCGCAAGAGCCTCCCCCATCCACCGAGTCCCATACGCCTGTTCTCTCCGAACCTCTGGCCTTGATGCGACGGACAACTACCACTTGTTTGTCAAACTTTGTACGTGGCGGTCTCGTCAGTCTTGGTGGCACCGCTAATGCTTCCCCCGTCTGCAGGCTCTGCAGCTGCTTGTGATCCTGTCGCAACATGTCTTCGACGACGTATACCAACAATTACAAGAGAAGGACTCCGAAGTCTCCAAGTCCTTTGCCACGATAAAGTCCCTGTTCCAGCAGACGCGAGCGATCTACTCGACGACCGACCTCATCCTGGATCCCGCCATGCTGGATCTTACTCTGCCGGATAACCTCACCGATGTCCAAGTCGCAAACCTTGCAAGTTTCTGCTGCGCGCTCTTCTCGTTTGATGGACACCACGATTCCACCTCAAAGGAGCTGCTCGCTCTGCAAGATCACTTCTTCTCGGTGTTCCTGCCCGGTGGCGAGCACGACACGGTCACGCAAGAGATTTCTGATCTCTTCGTAGCCGTCAAGACACACCTCGTTATTGACGCAGTTACGACAGCCGACCAGTCAGCGCCGGTCGACCAACTGATTGCCGATGCTTTCTCCGCTGATTTGGAGGATAAGCTACGCGCAAGGCACGGGGGCTCAACTTTGACGACTGAGGAGCAGTCACTGGTCACTGCCGTGCAAGAACGAAAGGCGGCTCTGATTTCATACGCCTCGGGTCTCCCAGACACCGGTAAGAAGCTCGACCACGTCTCTCTCTGTGTCATTGCTGACAGGTCACGTACAGTTCTTCTCAAGATCGGCTACCCAGATGAAGACCTTTTCCGCTTACTGAACATGTACTTGCGCCGCAAGCTGCAATCTCTGGCAGGTCTTGCTTCAAGACACGGCATTGAGCTTCCGTCAACGATGTCGAACGGCGACCTGGACACATCGGTATCTCACGATTTGGATGATTTAGGAATCAACTCCCTGCTCGAGGCAACAGACGGCCTCGTTGCACAGTACCTCCCGACCGACGCCATCGATGGCTTGCCTCACGACCCTCAGCCTCCCGTCCCGTCGACCGAGACCAGTGCTCCTCCCGCAGAGCCCGCCGCCGCACCCGCACCTGAAGCCCCCCCTCCTGCGCCGACAACGAACGGAAACACGGCCGAAGTCCAAGACTCAACGAACGATATCCTTGCCCTGGTCGCGCAAAGCACACAAGAATACGTCCGGACAACCCTCAACAACCTCTCGCCAGCACCGTACCAACCAACTGTGCCAACACCTACGGGAGCTGCTCCCGTCACACAAACGACGTACCTTTCACACTTGCAACAAACCCAGGCTCAGTCACCGTACTATGGCTACCCTCCGCCAGTCGAGCAACCGCCTCCGCCGGCACAGCACGACAACTCTGAGAAGCTGCCCCCCAGCCAATCATTGCCTAGCGCAGTTCTCTATGATAGAGCCAGGCAAGCGGCGCTGAGCAAGACGAACAACCAGCAGAGGCGAGAAGGAACTACGTCAACAAGACGTCCCTGGACTCAAGAGGAGGAGAAGGCGTTGATGACGGGTCTGGACATGGTCCAGGGCCCCCACTGGAGTCAGATCTTGTCGCTCTTTGGCGCTGAGGGTACGCTCTCGAACATACTCAAAGACCGGACTCAGGTGCAACTCAAGGACAAGGCACGAAACCTGAAGCTCTTCTTCCTGAAGACCAACTCAGAGATGCCGTACTATCTGCAAGCCGTCACCGGTGAACTCAAGACGAGAGCGCCGACTCAGGCAGCGAGAAAGGAGGCCGAGGAGAGGGCACGCATGAACTCAGAGGAGGAGCAGGCGCGTGTCCAAGGAATCATGACCCTTGCCGGTGGCCTTCAGCATCCTCAGCAAAACCGCGCGAGCGCGACACCAGCTACTGCGCCCAGCACACCCTCGCAATCTGCGGCCCAAATGTCACATCACCTCGCTCATGCTACTACGCCCACACATGCCGCTGTTTCCGGGCCGCCAGCGACGCCTGCTACGGCCACGCCAACCCACAACCGTGTACTACCGGCTTCCTCGCCTTATGCGGCAACAGCAGCTCAGCTTTCCCACACACCTCATGCCCTGTCACAGCCACCTCATACCCCAACACATTCCCACATCCAACATCACTCTCAACCTGGAACGCCGCAGCCGCAGCAGCACCAGCAGCAACAACAACAGCAGCATCATCAGCATCCTCAGCAAGAGCATGTTCAGCCACAGGTCTCTCAGCCGGCGGAGGCTGCCCCTCAGTACTCCACCGACGCCTCTGCGCCTGTGTATAGCCAGCAGAATGATGACCTGAAGGAGGCCGCTCTTATGCAGAGCCTGCGCGAACTCGAGGCGTACAGCAGCAGCGCCAGCTTGTCTTAGAGCGACGAGCACATCAACGCTCAGTACTTTTATCAACCCCACATCCTCCACGACTACAGCGTCAACTATAGCATGACTTCGCAAACCTTGACCGACGCGGTTTGTAACGGCAACGGCACTCAGCAGTATCTCGTCAACAACGAGATCTGATGCCGGATGCTTTCTTCGGCAGTGTTAGTACGGATACGGGAGATATCGATTCGCGCAGAATCGTGTTCGGCCTTTTGTGAAAACCCCCGTCAGCGCCTGTCTACACATGATTTTGGCATACCAGAACATGGACAAGCTCAGCGCGGGGAGAGAGCGGAGTCATTTCTGAAGAGCTATTGTTCTTTATAGAATTATATTATATGGAGAGGTATTATGGGCATTTGTCTATTTTTTCCCAAAGGCGATGGGAGGGGAGGGAATTGGAGAACCAAAAAACAAAAGTTTACAGACGGAAAGAAGGAGCAGGGGCGGCACCAAAAGCGATTTTCTTGTTTGCTCATGATACCACGAATGACAGAGAGAAAAAAGGGGGAGGCGCGACGGATGGAGAAAAAGCGCCTTCAAGTCAGGGATAAGAAGATTACTGCATAGCGATAGGGAACGAATAAAAACGGCAAATTAGTGCAGTAAAGGTGTTTCCCATGTCATTTGATAAAACGCCAATGCATATTCATGTTACGAAGAGTCTCTCGCTTTTCGTGGGCCTTGTAGAGCCGCGATTGATCGCGAGCGTCTTGGGGGTTATTCCCAGCAATCGATCGCAGACTTCTCCTGCGCTCGACCGGGCTCGTCACCAGAAAACACCTTACTTCAAACAAGTCACGAAAGGTTCTCGGGAAATGCAACACAAGTCAGCCAAAACCAGCCAGTTTCATCTATCGAACAAAATAGACTACACAAAGTCGTATCTTCCTTCCAGCGCATGTCCAGCGAGTACTACCTACAAATCTGCCTCACCAGCCTCCATCAACATTATCGGACGAGTTCATATCCTCACCGAACTTGGGCATATCCGACGACGCCGCCTTGAAGCACGGCCATCCCGTTGTGCGCATGAACTCCAGAGCAGAGACCTTGGCCTCGGGTCCGAAGCGGTTATAGTAGTCGCCCTTGTGTGGTCCGTCCTCGTGCGTCTTAAAGGGATCGATTCCGCTCCAAGGAGTCTGGCCTTCTTTGCCGGCCATCGCACAAGGCCTCATCGTGTTGCCCCACACGATCACGGCGTCTGACTTGGAAAGATGGGTGGCCTCGTCGAAGACGACTGCACCGGCGGACCTCCAGAACTTGTCGTAGGGAACGTCTCGAGATACATGGGGCGTCGTGCAGAGCGCATCAGCGACGTCCAGGATGTCGACCATGAGAAGTTGTATCAGTTTGTGGGGCCAGACCTCCTTCTTCAATCTGGCAGCTTGCTCCTCAGCGCTAAGCCCTTCTTCTTCCTCGACATTCTTCTCACTGAGTGTGGCATCCAAGCTTGAAGAGTCTTTGTCCTTTTCTTCGTCCTCGTCAATTGTGAGCTCCTCGGAAAGAAAGTCGGCAAGGGTGGTGGTCTGCGGCTCGTTGTCATGGTAGTGAGTAGGATCAAACTCCTTGACCTGCCAGAACTCGATATCGTGGTTGACAAAAGCGCGCAAGCCAACGTAATCAGCACTGGTCTTCCACTTTTGACGGATTTCAAGCAGTTCAGGACGGTCCAGCTGGTCCAAGTCAAATTCGTCATGCTGCACAATCTTGAGAAGCCACTCGCAGAGCGAAAAGGGTCGGCTCCAATGCCTTGTATCCCAGATCAAGAGATCGCCCTGGATCATTTTGATAAAAGACTCCACCTCAGAATGAATGTTACAACCGCGGACGATGAGAGGAATGTAAGGCTGAGGAGCCGGAGTATACTTATCCTTCATAGACCGGACAACAGTTGAGGCGGTGCTATGCAAGCAGCGAGCGAACTTGGTGACGTCTTCATTCCTCCAAGCTGCGGCGTGGACAGTCTTGATATCGGGGTTGCCCATGTACAGCAAAGCAGTAACGGCGAGAACTTCTGAAGTACACGACTCCATCTCCCCGAAAATACCGACGAGACCGAGAACTACAGATTCTAGGTATGATTTGTACGTCTCGCGTGATCCCGGGTTCAGCATATCCAAAAGAGCCTGGCGGTATATGGCGTCGATTGGTCCAAGTATGTCGACTTTTGGGGCGACCAATGATGGCTCGCTGAGGTTAAGACCATGGGTGCCAACATCGTCAGAGTCCATCGGAGGCGGGTTGAGAAGCGTATTGCCCAGACCACGACCCACGAAGAAGTCGCGAAGGAAACTGCCATAGAGCTTTCGATGATAAAGTCTCTCTGGCGTGTCGTCCTGGCAATTGTTGTCCATCTCGTCCGACGGCGACTCCACCTCTGGATCAGCCACGGAGAGGGCGTTGTTGACTGCATCGACACGGCGCCGAGCGACGTTCGTACCATCACCAAAATCGAGCCAGACGTTCATCTAGTCGTCTGAGCCAGACTGTGGTGACCAAGTCTTGATCTTGTAGTCGCGGATAGCAAATGCAGCTGATTCAGGGTTGGACGGGCGCTTTGCGTGAAGTACCAGACTGTGCTTGTGTTTGATCTGGGCAGCATAGGTCGGTCTGATTATACCCTCCCAGAAGAGATCGTCTCTGTCCACCATACCGTCTCTCCTCCTTGTACCCGGGGCTGGCGCCTTCCTGAACGAGATTCGTACCGTGCGGCCGAGTTTGGTGATGCGCTTGACGGATTTGCTGAAACGAGTCGTCTGGACCAGCATTAGAAAGTTCTTCAACGACAGACTTCAAAAGAAAAACGCACAATATCAGGTGTCAATGTCATCAAGACGAAGAAGGAATCGGTGTCCTCAGTTGAGCGAGAACCTTGTTTCAAGAAGAAGGCGCGCTGCCGAATGCCTCGGATCTCTCGAACGTCGACGTAAAACCAGTACGCATCTTGGACCACAGACTGGGTCATGGTTGTGAGGGCATCTTCGGGGTTGTCGAATTCGAACCTTTCTGGATACTGCGTGTTGCTGGAGTTGGCCGGAATCTGATGGTTATAGCGGCTTAAATCCCAATGATGTCTAGGCAAAAGAGTCAGTTTCGCAAAGAGGTATCAAGCCGAATATGAAAATACTAACACCTGGTTGTAAGGGTAGTTTTGAGAACTGGGAAAGAACGCGAACTTCTCCAGTGCGGTCGACGACTGAACCCCACGCCTCGCCAGAATTCGAAACTGACGTTGGCTGAAGATGTCGCGCAAGGTCTTCCAGCCCTGAGCTTCCTGATTCACGTTAATGTAGCTGTCAATGAGATCCGTTTCTTCACGGAGTGCCGGTCCAAGACCATCGACTGAGGCGATCTGGCCATCACCGAGGCTGAGGTTGATGATAGCTAGGTCGTTGGTCTCTTCGCGCGGCAAGATCAAATCGAAGGTACCTCGAGAAAGATTCTCGATGGACATACAGAATGTTCCAGCCGGGAATCTTAGAACTATCGAAAATACGTCTGCAGTCCCAGAAAAGGACCGGTTCTCCAAGTGCCGCGGGAAGCGGAAACGGATCCCGACATATGCTCGGCCACTGCCACCAGGGTTGACGACAAAGTCAGTCTCGATTCTGTCGGGGAAGCCGATCTTCTGGCCTCCAGCAACTTCGTGGCTTCCATGATGGAGGATTCCACATGGGTGATACTCCGTGATTGCCGAAGGCCGTTTCGGGTTGTTGTTGCGTGGCCGCGACGAGCGGGGCAGGCGAGGAGGCCGAGGCATTTTGCCGCCCGAGTACAAGTGAGAAGGCGGCACCGATGGGAAGAGTGCTTGAAAGGGAAATCGAGCTCAATCGACACCAAGCAAACAAAAAGAGGATGGCAAGAGAAGATGGGGGCTGCAACAACTGGGTAGGTCTGTTAGGTATGTTGTAGGAAGGTAAGGCGAGGGATCGGGGTTGAACCAGTGATCGGGTGGGAGAAAAATTTGTGACCGATCGGCGGACTCGAACAATTCAAATTATCGAAAAAGTCTCTTTCTGCGATTTTCAGTTGCGTCGCAGGAAAATTCGTGGGCAAAAGGAAACAGAAAGTGCCATGGGTGTGAGGTTGGGGGCGAGATTGGCGGAAGCAAGCAACCACGCCGCTCAATACCTTCTCCGCTTTTGAAGTCGTTCTGATTTGGGAGTAATTTTGCCTCCTGGACCTTCCTCGTTCCAAGCACGTCTCGAGGTGATTGGAGCACTGCTACAGGTTGGCGTGATAAGCACACTCTCAAGAGTGAAGGCGCGAGGCGCCTCTCGGATCAAATCGCTCTTTCCATAATCAAAGGCAGATCATGACATGAACCGCACCGGCCACAAGACAAAGAACCATTGCTAGCAGCCTTGAGTGAGGAAGGTATAGTGTTCATTCCTGAGGCAGGCACGAATATGAGTGCCTGACCCGGTACACCTTCGGGGACCGTACGGTGGCAGAGAGCCCTTCTGGCCGCGCCCTCTCCTTCACCTTAAACCGCCTTCCATAATCTTGCGCCCAAAAGCTATAGACTGGACCTTCCTTGGATATCTGGGCGGCCTCAGAAGAGCCTGGAAACCCAATGCCCCCCCTGGTTCTTACGTCTCCCCCGCCCTTTCAACGTCTCGTCAAAACACCGCCATCTGCAACTTGACCATTGGTTGGCGACACGATATCAGTTGTCCGGATTCCTTCGCCAAACGAAGCACAGAAAACTACAACAGTCTCAATTTCGCTTACGGGCTCAGATCAACATCGTTCTGCCTCAATAGTCACGTCAGATATTTGACAATCCTTCATCGCCGATTCTAGTTTCCTCCGTCTCGGCTGGCGGCAAAGACGATGGCACGTACATCTGCAACTCGCACCAGTCGTAGAGAAAATACTGAAGAAGCATTCTGACCGTACAATAGGAAAATGGCGTACCCAAAAAACTTCTTTGTCGGATATGATTGCGCTATCCTTTTCCCTGAGGACGGAGTCCTGGTTGGCGGCTTCAACTTCGGCTTTCAGGATCAACTTGAGACGCGCCTTTGCGCCTACCCAGGTCATAATCGACTCGTACTTAAATTCTATCTACAACGACGTTAGGACAACGTTGAGACGTACCATTACGAGCCTCATGATCCGTGGGAGAAGATGGCTATCGAACTCGAATTCCCAGTCGGAACTTGGAAATACACCGCCCAACCACTTCCCCGAAAGCACCACATGAGATTCTTCGACACAAGTTCACCCCGAAGCTACATCTTGGTGCGCCTACAATTAGAATCCCCCCCTGTTGTGGAAGGACTCAGCTTGCTCTTCAGGCGGGAAGTCCAGGGTTCATTGGAGCTTGGTGGGCTCGACGACAAGATCAATGGCTTCCGATCCCTCCGAGAAATAATGAGAGCGAAGAACTTCAATCTCGTGATTGACAGTCGTCACTCTTCCGCAATATCGTCTCAATTTGGTCTTCAAATAGATGTTTCACCTCAGAGTGGCCAGAATGGTGACAGGTGCGTTTTCCGCCGATGGAGGGTGTTGCGCTGTCGTCCAATATTGAAGAAGCTCAAGCTGATGCAGCCTTGTCTAGACACGATTGGGTGATCGATCCCGACACAGACCAAATTATCAAGAAGCCTGACGAGAAGGTCGTTGCAAGGAGATGCTACCAAACTGCTCACAACGCATACAATGCCTTGACAAAATCAGTCTTACAAGAAGAGCTTTGGATCAATCAACATGTGAACCAGCTTGCTGGAAGTCCTTGCGAAGTCTCGTTCGAACCAAAGGGAACACAAGTGATGGCGGATGCGAAGTTCACCGACCCCGCTATGGTATGTATCTCTACCTCCATCTGGACTGGCTTCCTAATAACATGAAAACAGCTGTCGACATTGTGGCTCTCGGTTCCTCATCTTACCAAAAACGGTACCCAAGTCATCTTAGCCGTACACAGAGATGGCCAGGTTTCTCAATACAAAGGCACTGTGTCACGCGACGTGGACAAGACGCCCGGGGGAAGACTATTCATCTCGATTGACCCACCTGAAGCTGAAGCACGTCAAGATTTAGCCTCCCTTGTGGCCTCTTTGAACGAAGCCACCACGGCTCGACTTCATTTTGACATCGACCACAAGCTTTACAATCAACGGGTTGCCGCCGTGAAGGATGTGTTTCATACCGACCTATCTCAAAGGTCTGCCGAGGATCGGGCGGCCAATCGTTTGCTAAAAGAGCTACTCGTCGGGGGCACGTCTGGCCCGATTGGTGACACACCACTCGAGCTTCCAGATTTTGACCTCGTTGGTGGCATACCAGACGCTTACCTCAAAGCGCTCAAATCAGAAGCTCCCTCCGGTACTCGAGATCAATACTTCAACTACGTGACTAACCGCACCCGTCTTGGTCTCGTCAGCATAACAGGAGAGTTCACAATAAATCTTCTAGCGGTTACTGCCATCCTTTTCACAGCCAATCCATCAATCGGCAAGGTGTTTCTTTCTGCTTCGACTGATATAAGTTTGTACGCCATCGCTGAAAAAATTCAAGACTTGGGTCTCAGAATCAGCAGCAGACCCAGCATAAAAGATTCCGCCCCGCTCGTTGTCATCGGAAGCGACCTAGATTTGGAAGTCGACGCATTCATCCTAAGGATCTCACAGTCCAATGTGAAGCCTCGTCACCAACTCTCTGTCTGCTGCCGACTCCTCGGACTCTTGAATTACAAAGTTGGTAGCTTTCCAGACTTGGACCATCCCAAGCTCAAGAAGATACGCACCAAGATTTCCAGGGAAAGCCGGTACAAACACATTCGTGACGTTCACGCCAGCAAATCAGAATTCTGCAATGATTTTGTGCAACGTGGGCATATAAGAGGGTTGATGGAGTCGATCGTCAGCGCGGCGGATGTGTTGGGCACCATGCCTGATGTTTGTCGAGACCACCCATATGACGAAGTACGGAAGAAGGCGAAGGGTATTGTTCTTCACCATGCCGCTTCGATATCAAGGAACGATGCTCTGGTTGTTCTCGGTGATTGTTTCAAACCACTCGCGATGGATGGCTGTGAGAATCGACGGGTCAAGCCGCTTATTGGCGAGAATGGTGATCATTACAATGCATTCTTTGAGGATGCTGAGATGTCTATTCTCCGGTTCATCATATGGTCTGGACATCCGTTCATCTGATTGGGGTTTACAGATTAGGTGTGATACACTTGCTTGTTAGATGCAGAGGTTGCCGAAGTTTGTGAGCATTAGTGTTCCCTAGACAGATTTTTAGAATTCAGCATTCATTCGGGCATCACGCGTACAAGAAATCCATTTTGGATGATGCTTATTAGATTGTCCAGGCAAGTGCCCATTGCGATGTCTGCTCGCCAACAACCCAACCATCCGCGGCGGGACTTCATGTAATGACAGATCGAGCGCATCCTGCCAGTTTTCCGTCTTGCCAAAGGCGCAAGCGGAAGGATAAGTATGTTAACCATGACTCCAGTAGCTTCTATGAAGCAGCTTTCGTGAAAGCAGGAACAGCACATCTGCCTGATGTTTCAGGCTTATGATCAAGTCTAGCTGGACGATGAGGAACGACAAAGACAACGAAGACGACGACGGCAACGGCATTCATCATCCTGTCTCCATCTCGCACCGAGCAAACATCTGACCTGTCTCATCTTTCCTCCGAAAAGCCTGTCAACGTCCCACGAGAAACGGGTATCAGCATCTCGTACAACCTCCATGAGGCACACCGCCCTTAGGCAATCGGCCAAACATACATCACCTTACCCAAGAAGCCTCGTACGCCTTGGGAGCTTCTCTTCTCTCTTTACCTTGAATCACGAGGCCCGTCTCTGATAGACCGGTGCGTCTTATCACTTCTCACGGAGCCTCACACACGCGACACCGCCCCTCGTGCTCCCGCTGAAGGGGTGGGCTGCCTTACCACGTCACGCCAGTTTGCCTCTCGCCGATCTCCTGGTATGCCTCTTGTCTCTGTAACATCATCGAAATGCCTCACGGGTGCCTGCTCACCGACATTTGGCGAGGTTCAGAGGACATATGACTGTTTTTAAACCGGCAATCCCCAAGCAGCTTCCTGAACCAACTCTCGACAACTTGAACTAAATCACTTCCAAACTTTGACCAAACTCACAATCTGTCTTGCCAATCTGATTGCCCAGCATGGCCTTCGGCAAAAAGAAACGCCTGACTCCGCAGGAGCTTGCCCGGCTCTGCAGCTTCGCGCACCCCATGGGCCTCCGCTGCCCCTATGCCAGAGTCACCTTGACCAGGGACGGCGCGCGCTTCGCCTCGCCGTTTTGCAAGATCCACTGCTGCAAGAAGATTGATAACGGCGCTGCTTGCACGAATGTGAAGACCAATAGCCGAGGATACTGCACCCAACGTACTTACCCCTGAGCCCCTTTTCGGCCATCCCACTCAACCCTTCACGGCCTTCTCTCCACCGTATCACCTCATAATTATCACTTCCATCAGGCTCTTCGCTCCAATAGCATATCTGACCATCGTCCAGACCTCCTCTGCACCGGCATAATGAACGGCCAACGCTGCACAAACTACGTCAAATCCTACGACCCCAAGGAATACCAATTCTGTGCCCAATTCCGTACGCCCCCCTTTCCCACCCTCCTTCAGTGTCCCACTAACACGTCTTCCCAGACAACTGCCTCCAACAAGGCTGCAAAAACGAACGCATCCACCAAGGCGACGTCGACCTCCGCTACTGCCAGGACCACCGCTGCGTCCGGCCAGATTGCACATCCCCCCGCGCCCCCGGCGGCAGCACCCACTGCGCCTCGCACACCTGCGCCGCGCCGGCCTGCTTCGCCGCCTGCCCGGGCGCCTCCGGCGACCCCCACGACCCCTCGCGCTTCTGCGACCGCCACCGCATGTGCCACACCGCCGGCTGCCGGCAGTTCGCCCACGTCCGCGCCGACGGCGTGCCCTCCAAGCACTGCGGCGCGCACTACTGCCGCTGGGAGGCCGAGGGCGGCTGCGACGGGGCCCGGGACCCGATGAGTGCGGACGGGGTGTGCGGCGCGCATACGTGTGTCGAGGCGGGCTGTTTGCGGGCGAGGGACCACCGGGAGGAGGGCGCGCAGTGGTGCAAGGATCACACGTGCAAGAGCCGGGACTGTCGGTGGAGGAGGTGGTTGGGGGAGTATTGTCGGGAGCATCAGTGTGGACGGCCGGGATGTCCGAGACATGGCGAGCATAACAACTACTGTGACAGACACCGGGCTTGTACCACGCCAGGATGTGATCGGCTCCGGAGGATTGATGGGGAGAATATCGGTTTGCACTGCGAGGAGCGTGTGTATCTCTCAACACCCATACCTGAACCACATGAGCTGACACGACCCAGACTCCATCACCCGCTGCCGGAGAGAAGGCTGCGACGTGCGCGTCGTCGACAACACGGAGCTCTGCGCCAGCCACCTCTGCAGCTGGCGGCCCTGCCGCAACGAGCGCGCGCTCTTCGGCTCCGCGCTCTGCGCGCAGCACAAGTGCGCCGTGCCGACGTGCCCGCACCGCCGCACGCACATGAACTACGACCCTATGTACGCGGTGCTTGGCGGCGACCGCGCCGCGGAGCTACTCATGTCGGCGTTCTGCAACGGTCACGCGTGCCGGCACGAGCAGTGCCCGCTGAGGGCTGAGGGCGACACGCACTTCTGTCGGACCCATGCGCGGTGCCGGCGGCCTGGGTGCACGAGGGTCGTGGAGCTCGAGGGGGAGGATCCGACGATTTGTTTGGAGCATAATCGGATGGGGCCGCGGGGGATGGGCAGGAGAGGGGCACTGGGAGGTGATCCGTATGGGAACGGATATGGGAACGGGTATGGTAATGGGGATTATGGGTATGGATGGCCTGGTGGCGGCGTTTGGGGTGTGAATGCTGCCATTTGAGGCTGGTCGGGGATGATTCTTTGGGTTAGAGATGCTCTGGACACAAAATGGCGGGCGTTATTTCAGAGCAGAGCACTTGGTCCGAACTGTTGTTAAGAGGTGCAGACATACAGACCTGAACATTACTTCTGCTCATTGATGAGCACTGTGGAAGACAGCCATTCCACAAGAGGGCTCTCGGAACGTCTCCACGATAGATACGAGGGAGGTTGATCCTCGAGTAGTATGAAGAGTCTTTCGTGTCAGCATCAAGTGTAACCCCAAATGATTTAAAAGGGCCGCTTCAAGATATACTCGAACTGGAGAAGGCTGTGAGCGTCCTATTCTGGTTTCTCCCAACCTTGTCAGCAGCGACACACCCACTTGTGGCGTGAAGAGTTGCAACCTCATCGATGGTTTCCGTCAGCTTTTCGTCAGGCCGGTTGCTGTATCCGGGGCAGCGAGGCAATTTGACATGATTTCCAATCCACAAAGCCAAGCAGTCGTTTTCTCACGCACAGCAATAGCAGCCAAGCCATTCTGCGGTCCAAAAATAAGCATCATCGATCCCCGTGATAGTTTCGCGTGATGTCGCGCATCAAAGTGCAGGAAGACGCGCTCGACCTCAGCCTCAGCTTCGGGCCGTGTGAGTAGAAGCAAGGGCCACATGTTCAGTGCGGGAAAAGACGGCGATGTGGCTCATCTCGCATGAGTTCGCAGACCGGTCTTCATCGCACCACTTACACCGTCGGCGCAGCCCACCACACGCTTGCCATCCGCACAAGGCAACGAGACCATTCTGGTCTCAATCAGGTAGCGGAGGGCACCCAAACATCAAGCCACCAGACACTATGAGTCTTGTCGAGAAATTTCTGGACGCTTCCGGTTGCCTCACAAAGGCGGCGATGTCGAGACACAACAGGGAGGGACAGTTTGTCGAAGGAATGGCATCCTGACCGTTTCGCGGACTCGTGAGGGTTGAACCGCTGTCGGAGGGAGTCAAGGCAAAGTGGACAATCCTCGCAGGGTGCGACGGTCTCGAGTCTGGTTGAAAGAGTCGGGGTGGTAAAACGGTAGCCTTGTCGGGGCTATGTCGACGACCTGAGGGATATGGAGGGTCAGAAACCGGTGTTGGTCGAGACGTTGAAGGGAAGAAGAAAAGGCACGTATCCCTGCTCAAGGTCTGGCCCAGTGAAAGCAGAAAATGTGGAGGGAGCCCAAGCGCAGGGTCCGTACAGTGCTGGCGTCCCCAAAATGGGATTTTTTGACAGTGCAAACACGGTCTGACGGCAGACTTGGGGCCCTCCAATCACCTGCGCAGCGCATCATCCCGCCTTTGGTCTCCAAACCTCTCCACTAGACAACACCATCACCAAATGTCAACGCTCGCGTCTGCGCTACAGAGAATCGCTTTGTACTCTATTTCCAAGCTGCATGAAAGAAGAAACTTACCGTCTCCTAGCTACAGCCTCTTGGTCTTTGGGGTTTTTCCGTTTCACCCTCGCTGATCCCTGACTCTTCCCCCTAACGACTGGGATGGGCGACCGTCAAGTCGTCACAGCCCCGGAGCCGGTTCCGAATGACCTCCCTTCGCGTGAGACATCCTCCTCATGCGCTCGCGGCCAAACGACCTGCCAGGTCTCACCGCACCCAACTTGTGAGGATGTCTACATGACTGCTACACACAACTTCTGAGTCCTCGTTCATCCCACAACCAAGTCAGCATTATGACACCCGACACTTGCTACTCACCATCTCCAGGGTCCTTGACACCAACAGGGGCCGAATAAAGAAAATGGCGTCGTCTTCGTCCGCAACCTGCTCACCTTATTGCAACTTTACTGCCCCCAAAGTCCTCCCACACACGCGCGCGCATACCTCACGGCGCGCCAGCCATCGAACCGGCACCCATCCCTCTCCTGCCCACGCGCTTGAGCCTCGTGGTCGCTGCCTTCTTTCGAGTAGGGCACCTCGATGACTCGATATTCTTGAGGCGCCCTCCTCCCTCCCAGTTCGAAATGGCATGGCTCTCCCGGGACGATGGTTGAGTCCTATGCCAGGGCGCTGCCTTGCATGGCCCCGTTAAGTCAAGCCTTACCCGCTTCCCGCTGCGGCCATGCCGTCGACTCACGAATCCTCGCTCGTTCCTAGACCCTAAGTCTTCTGCTTCGATCACCTGCATATAGTCCTAGCTCCTATGGTCTACTGTCTTTACTCGCAGATTTCCATATTAGTACCGCGATCTCTCCCTTTTCCGGGATCATCGAACCTACCCTCTTCCATCATCGTACTACTTTCACAGCTACCCAAGCCATACATTACACAACTTCAACCCGAGGGCTTCCAGTATCAGTTGAAAGCCTTCATACACAACCACAAAGATACCTAACAACCTTGAAGACTGCGAATCTCGTCGCAGTCCTCGTCCCACAGCCAAAGTGGGTAACGAGTGCGACAAACCCCCAAAACACCACCGCCCCAAGTACACCACTCATATGTCTAACCGCCGCTGGTACGTCGAGACTGCACCGGACGGCCGGACCCAGTACATCTCCCTCAAACGCTCCCGCTCGCACCACTACTACGGTCACCCTCACTATGAGCAGCCGCAGTGCTCGCCGCCAGTCCAGCACCACCGCTGCTGCCGTGATGACTGCTGCCATCTAGGCCGCGACGAGTGGAACGACCTGGTCGAGCGGGAGCGCAAACTGCGCGAGGCGAACGACTGCCTCGCCCGCGAGAACGTCTCTCTCAAGGCCAATAATCAGGCCGCCGAGGCCGAGGCGCGCCGGCTCGGCGGCATCGTGCCCATACTGCAGGCCGAGAACCAGGCGCTCCGGGACGAGAACTCGGCGCTGCGGTGCTCGCTCGAGAACGCCGGCGGCCACACGGGCAAGTTTCACCGCGAGGTCGAGAAGCTGCGGCATCGGCTGCACAAGATCGAGAGGGAGCGCGACGCGCTGATTGCGAGGGTCAAGGAGCTCTCGCGGCACTACGTCTCGGACAAGGTCGAGGAGCTGCGGCGGATCATCGTCAACTGGGAGCGCAAGTTTGACGTTGTAGATGACCACAACAAGAGGCTGCGGAGGGACATCGAGGACCAACGTTGTATGATTCAGGAGCAGGAAGAGCGGCTTCGCACGTACGAGCGGATTCTGCGTCGGAACGGCTATGCGAGGTTCGAATGAGAGAGGATCGGGGATGGAGGGATGGACATATGTTTTTGACTTGCATTTCGCGGATCTCTGATGGATGCGCGAAGACGTTAGTATTACTGTTCAAGCGAAAGTAATCATCTTTCTTTGGCGGGAGGATGTCTGGCTGGATATGCGATACAGGAAGCCGAGTGGTAAGTCTCTTCCCGCAGGCACATCTTCAAGAGATGAAGTCTAACATTTGATGCATGCAGGCTTTCATTGGAGATTGTAGGATTCTATCATGATTGGTCTTTGACGCAATAGACTTCGACTGGCGATGCTTCATTGGACATCCCGCCATGCAGGTGCGGTTTGGCCCGAGAAGATTGCAGTCTGACCTTCGTTCACGACATTTCATTTGTCACACATTTCGGCTGTTTTTTGCATGCATTTCCTCTGCTTATTAGGGGGAAATTTTCTTCCTTGTTTTTTTTTCAACGGTCATGTCAGGGGACGACTCGACGGGTCACTTCTTTCACGCCATCTGTTGTAATTCAAGGGTATTACTAGACACCAAATTGACACTCCAAGACCAAGTCTCTTCAGGCTCATGACAGAATGGAGCGAATCTTAGTGACAGTAAGCAGTCTATTGCAAGCGCGAAAGTGTCAAAAATAGAGAAAAGGGCCTCAGTGACTCGACTTCGGCACAGGGTCCCGTCAGCAGGTTCGTCGCGAGTCGCAGACAGACCAAACCCGTTCCCATGACGCCAGGCTCCCACACCTCCGAACCTCAGCTCCCCATCACTCCTAGCAACCCTTCCCACCACCACCATCTCGACAAAACAACCTAAGAGGGTGGTCTGGTCTCGTTAGGTTCCGCCTGCCTGTCTGCCTACAGCATCAGCTCATTATATAAGCGCACACCTGCTTACGTACACCTTCTGCAGCGAAGGTCCTGCCAACGCATCACATCGAGGTGCCTACCTTACGTAACCTTCAGCGCCAATACTCTTGATTGCAACACCACCATCGCGCCCGCAGACCGCAGCGCTGAGCCCACCGCCGGCGACAAGGGTGCCTGCCGTCCATCTAGCGATGGTGTGCAGCTTAAGGCTGCAGCTTCCAATCTTGCGTTGCCAGGGCCTGAGGCGACCCATTTCCCGCTGCCTGCCTGCAGTCCCTACTTACCTCACCATACGCTTTCTCGCGATTCCGGCAAGGCACGCTACTTTGGGCAACGCGCAAGTGCGCACAACGCCCATTCGTACCCTCTCGCTTGAAGGATTCCGCGCGGGATCGATATCCTTGGAATAGCGACACTGGAGAGACCAGGGTCTCGCTCAGCTCGTTCGTCACCTACCTTGCCTTATTCCGGTCCCCTCCGGCTCCGCGAGGCCAACGATGCGATTCTTGGCTCTGCGCTGCGGTACACCTTGGCTAGAGTGCTGACAGACACCGAGGTGAGCGAGTGGGTTCCCATGTCGGAGACATCTCAGCCCGGCCTTCGGGATCCGTTTTGGGACATACGAAGGGAACCTGGAAGGTACTTGGACTGGCACCTGTGAGGCAGCTGGGCCGCAGCTGACTGCTTCATTCGCCGATCTCCCAAAGTTCTACGAGATTTGCCACGGAATATCAAGGCAAGGGCTGCGGGGGTCTGGGAGGTCAACAGCACCGCGGTGCTTTTGCTTCTTCGTGGGGGCCAAGACTTGTGGTTGAAAGAAAGATGGGAAGGACCACTCTGGCGAAACGGTGACCGGCGCCTGCCCGCCGCTGGACCTGTCACCGGCACGTCCTGGGCCGGCGCAGTGCCCGCCCGCCGCTTTTACTCTGTTGGAATCAACCTACCAAGGTGCCTACCTTAGCAAGGTAGGCACGCCCC